CCCCGAGGGCTCCATGGAGCGATGGGGGATGCATTGGGTGCTGCTCAGGCTGCGTTTGCGTGAGCGATGCTGTGTGCGTGGTGGTAAAAAGCGAGATGCAGGGGGAAATAACCACCCGGGATGCACAAAGGCACCTCGCGAGTGACGGAGCAGGAGGACGGCAGCATTTCCCGCTTGGTTCCAGTGCCACGGGGTGGGGAGGAAGGCGCGGGAATTGCTGCTGGGGTCTCCAGGGCAGCCCCGTGTCACACGACGAGACACTAAAGAACAAGGCAAACGGCCCCAGCGTCGCTGCAAACGCGGTCGGTCGAGCCCCGTTGGCCTCCCCGCTGGGTGCAGGGGAGTGATAGCAAGTGAATCTGAACCCTCCTGCCCCGGCAGAGCGAGCGCGAGAGCTGCAGGGATCACAGACCCAATCCGTGCACCGGAGCCCCGTGCAACGGAGAGGGGCCATGGCAGATCCCGGCCACGGAGGATGCTCTTTTCCAACTCGTTATTTTTTCAAACATTTTTTAACATGGCGAAAGGGGCAAGTTTGAGTTCCCTCAGCACTGAGTCTCCTACTCGTGACCGGAGTGAAACAAACCCCAACTTTTCCCTATTTCTCTATTAATGAAGCAGTTCCCGCTCCTATAGGGCAGCCACAACCTGCTCTTGCTGAGCCTGCCCTCGGAGCGAGCCACACCATGGCCACTGCGGTTACGGTCTCCAGATCCGGCCTTCCACAAACACGAAAGATGGTGCAAAATATTGCACAGACTATTGCAGCTTCAAAGAGCTTTTGCAAAAGCCTTTTTTTATATTTAAAAAGCCCCGCGTTTCGGCCCCGCTCTTGTTTCGCTTTGTTCTGCTCTGCTCCCCTCGTGTCTCGTCCGGCTGCCTGCGCCGGGGCTCGGCGGAGCGCAGGGAGGCGGCGTGGGATCCAACAGCGCCGTGGACGCGGCAGCGTTGGGAATTGTGCTCCCGGATCCCGAGGAAGAGGAGGAGCGGCCGCGGCGCTTCCCACGTCCCTGCCGACGGGAGCAGCCGCCGGCCGCTCGTCCTCGGGTTGTCCATGGCCCTCAGCCCGTGCCATCGGTAGCGACTGGAGGAGCAGCAAGACATGCTGCATGCAATACGCACACTCATACCTGCTAACCATGCCATAAAATACCAATCCCAAGCCCTGTTTTTTTCCCAGGTGGATGCGGAGGGCTCTGGGCTCTCGCGGGAAGCTGCTCTTGGTGGGGACAGGGGCTTGGGCTGCAGGAGGACGACGGTGCTTGGGCACGCGCTCGGTTCGACCACCTACGTGGTGGCACCTCCGCGTGCCGGGGTGACCGCTTGGTAGAGCTGGGTGATTCCAGCTGCTTCCCACACGGAACGAACCGATTCCCGGCTTGATCCTGCTAAAAACACAAAGCAGGTTATGAAGAACATCCCGGTCCTTGTCCTGCCGCCACATCCGAGATCCAGAGAGTCGCGTGAACCGGGCAAAAACCCACACAGCTGCCCACGAACCACCAAAACGAAGGAAAGGGTCAAAAGTCACTGAAAAGTTTTTGTTCTGTAAAGCTTAATATGAATTAATTATGAATTAATTAATTAAAATTAATATGAATGCTGCTTTTCTTTTAGGAAAACCTATTTATAGATAAATAATCCAAATGCTGTAAAAAAGCTGCTTGAAGAAGCTGAAAACATGAGATCCAAACCCAAGTGTTTAAACATAGTGTTTTTAAAAGGTTCGCTCCAACGTCAGACTTCACGTAGTCTATCGGCACTTCCAATATCATTCATAAGCAATAGGTTATAGTATGATATAATTTAATATAATGCTACTTCCAGTGTGAAAAAAGCTATGTTTGGAAATTCAATGGAATCGCTTGATTTTTTCAAGTGCACTGAGCACCTGGGGGCTCCCAGTAGCTTCTCGTGTTAACAGAGAGTTTCCTCTAGATAGAGGATTCATGGAAAGAAGCTTTGAGGCTGAACGGTTAAAGCAATTATCCCCTAGAAATTCCCCCATTTTTTTTCCAACCAGTTAGAGCAGTTAAATCAGGCAGAAAGGAAATTATTTGAACAGTCTTTCACTGGAAAGAGAACTCCTATTGAACCTGAAATGGTCTATATATAACAGCAGTCTTCATAAAATTTTCCATGGAAAAATTCCGAAATGATTGACAAAATAAAAAAGGAAAGTGAATGTTAACGCTGACCTTAGGATTTTAACCTCTTTGTGCTATTAAAAATACTACATAATTGACAAAATGCTTCACTTCCAGAAGGCCATTCTGCTATTTTCAACCCCAGATATCTGGGGATTTCCATTACACAAATATTTTGGTATTTGTATGGTCCTGATTCAGAACAGAGCCGATTTGGAGTTCTCAAGAAGATGATTTTGCCTTTCGGGATGCCTTTGGTTTTCACCCTGTCATTCTGTCTCCTTCTGCCCAACGTGGGGTGGCCCCTGGATTGATGCTTTGGAGCTGGGCGAGGAGTGGAGGGTCTTTTTTTGGGGAATATCGGAGCATCCTGCTGCACCCTCGGCTGTGAGCAACGAGCCTTCCTCGCTACCGCGCTCCAACACGGAGATCAGGAGACACCTCTAAAAATCGATTCTTTAGCACGATCAGTTGGCCCGG